TGGTTCTGTTTTATCCGATTTTAACTCTTTGAGACCTGTGCTAGAAGTAACTGCTTTTTGTTGTCGGAAGCCCTATTCCTGATATTGGACAGAATTCAAGGTCCGATCATACCGGTTTAGCAGCCAGTTCACTGAGCGCGTACGCGCCTAACTGCTTGACGTGCGCTTTGCGCGTGTGTGCAATTCATAGGAAAACAGCTGAGGCGAGGCAATCCACTCTGCTGCGCTTATCACCTGGGCTACAAAACAAAGAAATATAGGTGAGTATCGCCCAGAAGTGGGCGGGCAGGCCCTCCTGAAGGTCGGAGAGAACTGGTTCACTCTCAGCTGCTTTTCAGAGCTACCGATTCGCCTGAAACGGTCCGAACCGGTAGAATCCCACCTCTGACAAAATTATTCAAAAGTCTGGTTGGTTGGTTGCTTTCAGAAGCATTATAATAACAAACTAAAATGTGATGGCCAGGTTATATTGTCTAGCCTTTTATCTTTTGTTTCTTTTCCTTAGTAGCATATAAGTTTGAGATCTTTCATTTATTTACAGATAAAGAGTGGGATAATGTATGTATTTGAGAGCTTTGTTGCGTCTCACATTTAAACATTTTAATGCCCTAAATATTCAGTTGCTTATTCTGAACAGATATTTCTTCAGAACTGTACTTCGGTTACATTTTCCTATCAGCTGTATTTTTTGATGAAAAGAAAATCGTCTTCGCTGCCCACCCCCTTACACTTTTTCCTCAAATAATGTGGAATGTGGTTGTGTAAGTGTTACAGTTAAGTGGTGGATTTCTGGGATACAATTGGCTAAAAGTAGCACAACTCCTCTCTTTCATATCCTGCTGAATTTATACATTTGAAAAGTGAACATAGTATTAGTATTGTATTTAAATGGTAGAGAGTTTATGCTTTCCTTTCCCAATAGCAAACTATTTATATTTTTTTTAATAGTAAAAAATTGTAGTTGATAGGCAGAATTATATTCACATATGTGTAAAAAGGGAATGAAAGTAGATACTGTATGTAAGTAGAAAGCCAGAAGAATTGGAATACAGTTAAAAATTATGCATATTAGGAACAGAAATAATTGTTTAAAAAAATGCTTTCAAACTTTTATCTCAAAATGAAAATATGTATTTTTGGCTTAGAGTCCAAAACCTTTCATGGGCTTTAGCGGAAAGACAACCTTGGAGCTAGTGTGTAAGCCATATCCTAAATTAGCCAAAAATGGCTGATGTCAAAAAGCTAAGCAGGATTATGACTGGTTTATACTTGGATGAGAGACTGCTAGAAAATAACAGGGCTGCAGATTACTCTACCAAGTTGAAAAAAGTGTCTCAGGAGAAAGCTATAGTAAAACACTTCTGTATTGTCATGGTGAAAATTACATGGACATGTCTGGAATGCTACCTTTGAACTGGACTTTATCAAAGACAGAAATGGTGTTAGATTCTCCTTAGTGTAGACATCTATTTTTTAAATATAAAACCAGCTGTCAAAAATCAAATCTCTTTCTTTCTTTCTTTCTTTCTTTCTTTCTTTCTTTCTTTCTTTCTTTNCGGCCTTCCGAAAGTCTACTAAGACCTGGCTATTCCGGCAGGCCTGGGGCTGTTGACCTCATGAATGAGGTCCAGCCCCACTAAGATTGAGTGCAGGATGTGTTTTTTAACCTGCGTTTCCTCTCTATTTTAAATTTTTTTGTATTCTTTTTAGAGTTGTTTTTATGTAAGCTGCCCGGAGTCCTTCGGGATTGGGCGGCATATAAATTCATTAAATTTGGAATTAAGCCATCCCAACTTTTTTGGGGGTCAACTGTTAATTCTCTTTCTGCTTTACACCACGGAGCGAGAGACAAGCGTGGCCCCACTTTCATTCTAAGAAAAAAGCAGCTTGCAGGAGCAAGGAGGAGGATAAGGCTTTGGCCCTGAGGTTACAGGTTGTTCCGTGTAAGTTTTGGTTTCAGGTTTCTCAAAGGTTTGTTGCTGGTGGCAGGCGCTCGGTCACTTCTGGACACAGCAGAGAGCTGGCCTGGTGTCAAAACTCGGGGTGGGGGGTGGGTGGGATACAGAGACTGGGAGAAAACTAAAATAATCTCCTGCCCCTACAGGTATGGCACATTCGACAGGCCTATCGCTCTGCATTTCTTGGTCCTGAGCCCAGATAAATGGCCGCGAGAGACAAGAATGCACAGCTGAGGCAGGAAAGGCGCTTCGGCCATCTCTGGAACCCCACACACCGCCCCCCCCCCCGGGCTCGTCTTTAGGAAGGATACTTATGGTCAAAGTTGTACCAGACTCGGAAGAGCCAGGCGCTCTCAGCTCTGGTGCTTCGCCCCTCGATTTCTGGACCGCCCTGGAAAAGAAGAAACGCGACAGGGTCATAGTGGGGTTTGCGGGAGGAGAGCCACCCCCCCCCCAATGCCCAGTTTTGCTCTTTATTTGCTGTGGTGCGTTGCTGATGGTCCGATGTTTGTGATCTGGATTGCAGTAAACAAAAACCGGGAGGAATTTAAAGATCTGTAGTGTTTTAACAAAGTTGTGACAGAATCTTGGCATCAGGACACAAGTGGGGGGGGGGGGGCTATTCAGGCTGGTCGGAAATGAGATATGGTGTTTGTGTGTGTGAGCGTTTTGTGCATCTCCCTGTGTATATATGCATAATAGTTATCTTTTGAGAGCTGAATGGAATTTCATTTTAATGTATGCTGATGTACATTTAAAGTGACAAAGATTCTATTCTATTTCTATTCTTTCTATTTTATTCTATTCTATTATTTCTATTCTATTATTATTCAATTCTATTATTTTTCTATTCTTTCTATTTTATATCTATTTCATTCTATTCTATTATTTCTATTCTATTATTATTCTATTTTTTATTCTATTATTATTCTATTCTTTTTATTTTATTATTATTCTATTCTATTATTATTCTATTCTTATTCTATTTTATTATTATTCTATTCTTTCTATTCTATTTCTATTACATTCTATTCTATTATTTCTATTCTATTATTATTCTATTCTTTTTATTCTATTATTATTCTATTCTATTATTCAATTCTATTATTATTCTATTCTTTCTATTCTATTTCTATTTCATTCTATTCTATTATTTCTATTCTATTATTATTCTATTCTTTCTATTCTATTTCTATTTCATTCTATTCTATTATTTCTA